GTAATATTATCATTACACATTCTATTCTCATTCTTTTAGTATTTTTATATTTATACCTCTATTTCTTATTTAGTATTATTTCTTCTTCTTTTATTTATTTATTTCATCTTTCTCATTGTTATTTTATTCACATTCCCTCAATTTATTTTTATATAAACTCAGTACATACCTGAACATTTATTTGTCATTTTTAATTCTTTCTATTATCATTTCTTTCTTTTTATTATCAAATATACCAGTTAAAACAACTGTTGATCAAATAATCCTTACCTTGTATGTTTCTCTAAAATAACATTGTTTTTTCATTAATCAATTGATTGATTCGTTTATATTGTATATTTGTTCTTTGTGATGTATTTTATTTTCAGTACTATTTAAATAGCATTTCTGAAATTAAAATCAAATAAGCATTTGTTGTATGTTCAAGTTTATCATTTAAATCTGTTTAATAAAATCAAAAAATTAAACAGATTTTTTGATACAGAATTATTGATATTCATTTCATTGATACAAATATTGTGACAAACTAAAATTCTTCTTATTCTATTAGTCTGTATTTATAAAAACATGTGATTTGTCATTAGAATCCAATGAAATAATTGAGTATATTGTTTATTATTAATATCGACTCTATATTTTACAATGTGAATGATAACGATTATTTATCATTACATTTATCAATTAAATTGTTACTCTATATTTTCATTGTTAAATTCATTTTGATTTGAGTAGTTATAAAATAACAATTTATTCTTAAATGATAAAAACACATGAAAATAATAAAATATAAATAATTAATGAAACGGTTGTTGGTGATTTTAGTGTATGAATTGATACATAACATTGTATATTTCTGTTTAATTATTAATATTTAATATTCAATAATATTGAAATAAGTTCTACAACGAATTGATTATGATTTATTGATAGAATAAAACATATCAAAAGTGTTTGAAAACAATGTATTTTATTGAAAATGCTTTAATAAGTAATTTCAACAATACTGAATATATTACAATAATCATTAATAAATATAATTCAATTATTTAATTGAATATTAATTTATATTACATCATTTATTATCAGTATAAACATTAATAACAATTTTATTGATATTTTATTGATTTGATTATAAGATCTGATTACTTTTCATTCTGTAAATAAAATGATATTTGTTGTAATTTCAACACTATTACAATTATTTTGCATTATTCTAATTCTTGTTATTTCACTATTAATATTGTTTTAATAAAATATTAAATTACTATCTGTAAGACATAATTGTGTTTTAATATTCATGAAATATGTATTGAATTTAAATAATCTGTGTATTAATATCATTTCAATTATCATTAAATTATACCATATTTGTTTTACATTTATTATATCTCAATTTTGTTTTTCATTTTGTCATTAATACATTTACTATTTTTATTTATTTCATGTTGAGTAATAAACATTCTATTGTGTTAGTTTAATATTATAAATATTAATTTTGTAAATATACATGAGTCAATTTATAATTCAATACAACAATAAAATACTTTTCATTCTATTAACTCGTATTCTATAATTATAGAATATTATTTATGAATAATATATTCTTGCTATTTAACTTTCTCCAATATTCATTTATAAATTAAATATCATATTTCATTCACATTAATTTCTTTGTTTAAAATTATCAATGATTAGATTATGATCATTCAATTTGTATAATAATGGTACAATAACATTAAATTCTTATATAATACTAAACCATTTAAATTAATATATTATTGATTTCTAATATCATTTATACAAAATATATTTATTTTCACTATCAATTTCAATTATTATTTAATACTGTTTTAATTTCAATTTATTCAAAATGTTTTATCTTTATTTCGTTATTCATTTTCTTTATTATTCACAACAATTCATACTATCATTATATTAAACATCATTTTTATCAATTTATTTAATGTTTCTAATATCATATTTTGTCTCATTTGAAATGAACTAATACTTTTACCACATTAATTCAACATTTATTTATTGTATGAATGTATTTTAATTTCTTCATACTACTTTTGCAACAGTATTAATCTTATATTTCTTTTTAACAATATCAACTTTATAACATTTTCATTGTTTCTTAAAATTGTGTTGTAGAATATTATTTCAGTTTTTCATAATAAAGAGTTTATTATTTTTATGTTTTTTGTATAACAACATTTCCTATTTGATACTTGTTTCATTAATCAATGAATAATTATTTAATTATTTAATAAAAATAAATATTCCTGTTCAATTTAATCCATGCATCTATATGAATATAATAAAAATAATTTTATAAATTTACATCATACATGAATCAGGTTAATTGAATAACTCAAAATATCACATAAATGTCAAATACAAACATATTCAAATAATACACAAATTAGAAATACAAACAAAGAAAAGAGTATACTAATAATGAACCATATTATCCATCTAATATTTGAATCATTAATCTTCAAGAAGATGTTTAAGAATTGACCCACCAAATTAAACTATTTCCATTTATATATCTTTTTATTCTTCATATTTCTCTTATTTTTATTTCGCTTATTTTTTATTTATAACAAATTTAAATCTCAATGAATTATTTAGACACTTTTGTTTTTTTCGATGATTCTAAAATGTTGAATTTAAAATAAGTAAATTGTTGAAACACATTTAAAAAATATGACTTTACGTTATTTAATTTGGTATATTGTTGGTATTTAATGATATGATTCAGAATAAGAATATTAATCATAACATTATTATTGGATTACTATTTTATCATTCATTTAATAATTTAACTACAATAACAAGAATTGTAAATAATTTATATCATTTATACATAATTAAACAATGAAATATCAAATATTTGTAAAAACAAATTAATTTAAATGAAAGAGAATAAAATAATAAAATTGGAAATGAATGAATTTGATAAAATAAGAAAATGTTTATATGACTAGATCAAAAATGAAATTCACAAATATAAAAATAAATTAAAATTAACAAAGAGAATAGAATAATTATCAAAACACCACTGAGTGATAAAAACAAAGAAAATGAAGTAAATGAATAAAATGTTAGTCTATTTAACATTATAAAAATAAAATGAAAAGAACATAAAAAGTTAAAATAAAGTGACGGATAAAATATTGAATAAAAATAAACAACAAAAACAACGATAAAAATGAATGAATAAAAGAGTGTTATGCATATTCTCATAATGATAAAAAATAGTTAAAAAAAATAGAAATAAATGCATTTGAAAATATAATCAGTAAAACAATAAACAAAACAAAAAAGAATGCTTATATATTAAATTTAACATATTAACTTCTTTTTTATTGTTTTATTTAATTTTAATAACTACATGTCAAACTTAATGAAATAGAATACGGATATTTTATTTTATTCAGAAAATTAGAATATTAATTAATACTCACCCTTTAAACAAATATGAATTGAATTTTCACAATTTCAATTCATTCTATTTATTATCATTTATTGAATTATAAATATAATAACAGAACCAAATGATAAAATAAGATGATTGTTCAATTAATGCTCATTCAACAATATTTGAAACTCATGTTAAGAATAATATAGAAGTTACACAACCCAAATGAAATTTATTTCAATTCATATACAAAAGAATGAATTGAAAATAGAAAAGTATAAATAAGAGAGTATATTTAAAGAGAAGAACTGAAACACATTTTAATGATTATCTTTATATTAATTATTGTAATTAATAATGCAACTATTCTCAACAAAGAAGAAAGATTTAAAGAAGTTATACATACACATATATATTCAAATAATAATGAAATGAAGAATATCTACAATAATCATTTAAAGAGTGAAGCAGAAGTAAAAGAAACTAAAGAATTGGATAAAGAAGATGGAACAACACCATTAAAACAAGAAAGTGGACCAGAGATTGTTACAGAAAAAGAAACACGAGTAACAGAGAAAAATGGAAATAGTGAAACAACAAAAGAACAACAAACAACGGCAGTACCACCTCAACCACAAACAAAAGACCAAAAATCAGAAGTACCAACAGAAGCATCATCACAAAAACAATCACAAGACCCACAACCAACCAAAGATCATCACCAAGAGACACAACTACCAAAAGAATCAGAACATAAAACAGAAGAACAAACAACACCAATATCAGAAGGTAATGGAGGTACAAAAACATCAAAAGGTAATGTGGATCAACAAACAATCCCACATGGTAAAGAAAGTGAAAAATCTCAAGACAATAGTGCTACAGAGTCACAACAACAGAAAGAAAAAGCGGGAAAACAACAAGAAGAGCAAACCCAAAACTCACAGCAAGATAAAACTGAAAAGCAGCCACAACAAAAAGAAACACCAGAAACATCAAAAGAAGCTGAACAACAAGGAGAAGTTATTCCAGAAAATCAACAAAAAGAAAACCAAAGTGATGGACAAGATAAAGATGATAAAAAAGAAGAAAAAAATCCCAGTAACAAACAAAAAGAAGAAAAGGACAACACAAATAAAGCAACAGATACTACAACACCAGGTATTCCAGAAAGTAAACCAGACAATAAAACTACTGATGATTTAAATAATCATAGAAACATTGATAATGCTTCAACCTTATTAATCACTCTTTCGATATTCACAACAGTTTTATTTTTCTAATTGAACTATTAACTTAATTTAACACTTTTCAATATTATATTATAATTACTATATATTTATTACGTTATCAATGAATCAATTCTTGTCTGGTGTTTTATCAATGAAATAGATTTTTATTGAAAAATAAAATAATAAATTTATTATGTTAAATAAATATTTAATAATATAGTTAATATTTAATA